TAACAATAATAATATATCTCTAAAAATAAAAATACCAAAAGAAGCTATAAATATTTAATAATAATATTGTATTTGCAAATAATAAAATGATGAAGAAATGATGTGTATTATATTTATTTATTATTTTAGAATGTGAAATTTGTTCAGAATGGTATCATCTAAAATGTTTAGGATTTTTGAGTACTGTAGAAGATGCACAGAATATTTATTTCTATTGTTTTAGATGTGAATAGAAATTAAATCGAGAATAAAGCAAATATATCAAAAGATATAAATAATATTTTGCAGATGCTACATTTCGAGATCTAAAATTAAAGATAGGAATGTCCCCTCATGAATTAAGAGCTCATGAAAAAAAGAATTATAAATAGTTGTCTAAATGATCAATATCATATACATAGATTATAAGATTTTTTTATCAATTAAATTTAATAAAATTTAATAAATTATTTATAAAATTAGATAAATAAATTCATTAAATATTTCAATCTCTTGATTTGTGTCTAATATATTCAAGTAATGATTTAGAATAACATTGAAATGAAAGAAACTCTTCATAGTTTGACTATGATTATTGTTAAGCATTACTTCTAAAGGTGTGTTTGATAAATCTACAACTCCAGGAGGTGTCTCATAATTAATATTGAGTTCATAGAAACCAACTGCATATTGGATGGCTGGTAAAATATCTTATAAGGCAAAACCAAATGTAGTTTGTACAAATTGTCCAAAAATTATGTTAAATTAATTATCCTCTATATTATAAATAAATAATTATACTATTTAATAGAAACATTGAAGTTTATGACATTATTTCAAGCATATCTTAATCATATACATTAAGTTAAAAAGAAATGATTAAGTACATGAATGATGCAACTATAGTTCTTGGCATATATTACAAAGTTTAGATGTCCATCAATGTACAATCTACTAATTAACATAGTTTTCTAAACACTTTTAATTAAATTTGGATTACATTGATAAGATTCTTCATTTGGTTTTCTAAATTAGACATTTAAACCATAATTCTCTGCATAAATATCCCATTGATCAGTAAACCAATTTATCCAATAAGTATAAGAGGGAGGATTAACATGCCATTTTAAAGTCTATAAAAATTAATAATATATAATTACAAATAGAATAGTTAATTCCATATTTAGTATTTCATCTTTGGTATAACCATAATTAGCAGCTTTTTCAAATTATTTAACTCCAATTGGTATAACTTCTTCTACTTTATTTGCTATCAATAAACTAGCCAAACCAATAAGTTATAAATTCTATTTATTTACCTATTTTTTAGATAAATATGAATCTAAATAGAAAATTGATAGATGAAAAGTTTATCTTTTTAATCTGAATTCCATAGCTACTTCCATCATCCAATCTATAAGAATAGCTCTCATAAGTTAATTGATATCACTCTATTCTGTTAAATAATATGGATCAGTTAAATAATCTCTCTCCTATTATATTAAAGGATCAGGCTCTGTTTTTATTCTATCTTCTATATTCATATTATTTATAACTATTTCATTCTCATCACAAGTCAAATCTAAATCTTTTGGATTTGAATTAGCTTAAGTAGAACCTAAAAATCTAGATTCTTTATGATCTATAGAAGAAGATCTAGATTTTTAAATTGGACTTTTTGATAGTAATTATATATCTGCAGATACACATCTTTGTGAACTTTTTCGAAAATGAGAATCTTTATTTTTCAAATCATCTTTCATTTCAATTAATAAGTTTTGATACTCTTAAGAGCAACGATACATATTTTCGATAACTCCATTAAATCTTAATTTATCATTATTTTAAATTTATGAATTATGAGCCATAGATTGTAATTTTAAAGTTAATTTATCATTACAATCTCCTTAATTCAAATACATACTATCTTTGATACGTGTTCTACTATTTGTATTGCTAAGAAGAACCGTATTAGGAAAACTAATTTGTCTAACTTTTTAAGAAGGCTTATTAATATTATTAAATGAATTCTCCTTATTTTGTTTATTTTGATTTCTAAATTCTTGCAACAATTGATGAAATGTTATTGAAATATCTCTACTTTCTGTTGGTCTTGATGTAATTTAAGCTTGAATAACTTAATTTGGCTATGATTTTTCCGAGGGTTTATATTGTCTTTCAGTGTGTCTGTCTTTTGAGCTTTTAATTAATTAAGTGATCTATTTTATAATTTAAGGTTCAACAGGTTTTGCTTAGTATTTTGGAGATCTACTTTGAGTAAGACATTTAGGATGACTAACTTGCTTATTATATTATACATACTTAAATCCATTGATCTAAAGTTGCTTCTTTTACATATATTGTTATATTAATTCAAATTTAATTTATGAAATGCTATTAATAAATGAAACCAAATTTCACATTTGAACTCTTTTCTAAAAAATCTACAAATAACTTTAAATAAAATAGACTATGAATAAAGTTATTATACTGAAGATAATAATTATTGTATTCTAAAATGATTAGAACATAATAGAATATCTATAAATATTAATCATTTTCAAGTAATCTTAATATGATAATATGATGGAATTTTTAATTATCATATTTAAATAAATTTATCAAAGAAATTAATTATTGTAGAGATACATTCAATAGAACCCTAAAGTTTTTATTGATATATAAAATATACATAAATACTATATATATTCACAATGGTAAAAAGGTTTTTTTTAAGAATATTCCTTTGATTTGGTTTTTTATTAATTTAAAAGCAGCATGCATACCTGTTTTTCCTCCTGGAAAAAGGGATATTGTCAAATATATTAATGTAGAGATCTTTATTTATTGGAGATTTTACTTGAAGTGATAATAATCCAAGAGTATAAAAGTATCCCATATAGAACATTCCTGTGTAGAGACAAGCAATTAGAGATATTAAATAAATCAATGTAGCAGCTGATGAAGAAATTTTATTAAAAAGCGTTTTTAGTTCAATAATTTAAAGCATGGATATCAAAATAACAAGGGAGCCAACTGAAAATAGTAAACAAAATGGTTTAGGATTTAATATTAAAAAAGAGGCAAATGGAATTGATATTATAATGAGAATGAGTCCAGCTATAAATAGGATTGCAAATACTCCCCAATTCTTCTATGTTTCAGTTTTTCTATATTAAATTTTAATTAATACTTTGGTTATAAGCTAGATACAAGTGATCCTAATAAAGTTTCCTCTTCTGCAAAAAACTGCATGATTAATTATCCTAATCTAATTTAATTTTTAAATAAAAAGATGAGTGAAAAATAAAGTGTAAAGCAATACATCTAAGGAAAATTAGATCTTCTTGAATTTATGATTGCAGAAAAATAAGCTAATGTAAAGAGATAAGAGGCATAGAGAAATGAATTAAATAGTTTGGGTAATTTTGAATTTGTATTTTGAGTGAGGTAAGTTAAGGAAGAATTGTAAGCCATGTAAGAGCCTCATTCTTATGTTGGTGATGTTGTTAAATAGATGGGAAAAGATAAAGTATTAGTTAAAGTGAATCCAGAAGGGAAATATGTTGTTACTTTAGATAAGAGTATTAAAATTGAAGATTGTAAACCTAATACTAGAGTTGCCTTGAAGAGTGATTCATATGTTTTACATAAAATTCTACCAACAAAAGTGGATCCTTTAGTTTCATTGATGAAAGTAGAAAAAGTGCCAGATTCAACTTATGATATGATTGGAGGTTTAGATTAATAAGTGAAGGAAGTAAAAGAAGTGATTGAATTACCTATCAAACATCCAGAAATATTTGAGAGTTTAGGTATTGCTTAACCAAAAGGTGTTTTATTATATGGACCACCAGGAACAGGAAAAACATTATTAGCTAGAGCAATAGCACATCATACAGTATTATTAGATAATATTAATTAATAGGATTGTACATTTATTAGAGTAAGTGGATCTGAATTAGTATAAAAATATATTGGAGAAGGAGCAAGAATGGTAAGAGAATTGTTTGTTATGGCTCGTTAACATTCTCCATGTTTAATTTTTATAGATGAAGTAGATTCAATAGGAGGTGCAAGAATGGAAGGAGAAAGAGGTGGAGATTCAGAAGTATAAAGAACTATGTTAGAATTATTAAATTAAGTAATATTATATATTTATTTATATAGCTTGATGGTTTTGAATCAACATAGACAATAAAAATTATTATGGCTACAAATAGAATTGATATTTTAGATTCAGCTCTATTAAGACCTGGAAGAATAGATAGAAAAGTTGAATTTCCTAATCCAGGAGTTGATGCTAGATTAGAGATTTTAAAAATTCATTCAAAAAAGATGAATTTAATGAGAGGAATTGATTTAAGAAAGATTGCAGAAGTGATGCCAGGTGCTTCTGGTGCTGAATCTAAAGCAGTTTGTACAGAAGCTGGTATGTTTGCTTTAAGAGAAAGAAGGATTCATGTTACTTAAGAAGATTTTGAGATGTCAGTGGCTAAGGTTATGAAGAAGGATATTGAAAAGAATATGGCTATCAATAAAATGCTTAAGTGATTTATGTATAAAAAATTATAATTATATATTTAATGATTCAACCTAAATTTTTAACATAATTATTAACTCAATGCTAGAATGAATTTAAGGTCTAATCAATTTTTGTAGCAGCTACAATTGATGGATAGATGATAGCTTAAGTTGATTAAACTTAACATCAATTACCTTAATTTTCTATATTAAGTATATTCTTTGATGATTGTAAAGAAATAGGAAATGTTTAATTATGTAATCTTTATTATATATATTAAATAGCATAAAACATTAATTTCAATTATTTATTTGTAGACATAGTAGATTAAAGTATTGTATTGTCTAACTTTCAGAATTTATTTATTTTAGGAATAGTATCATCCCAAAATGTAGGAATGTTGGTATTGTTTATGAATAAATGTTATCGTTAATTAAAATAAATTATTAAATGAATTGTCTTTTTTATATCTCATTATCTAATTTTTCATGTGTATTCATTTTTTTTATATGACTAGATTATTGATTATTTCTGAAACATAATTTTTTTTTTATTAATCATTTTTTATCTCTTAATTTATAAATTCTATTAGATAATTTTTAGCATCTTTTTCATTATTGATATTATTATTTGTTTCCATTATGTAATTTATTAATTTTCCATAATATTTTTTTCCAAATTATTAATGATGGTTTTATTAAACTTATTAAAATTATATATGCTTAGATAATTATTTTCCAATTATTTCTAAGTAGTGTCTTTCTTTTTTTTACTTTTTAGATTAAAATTACTTTTCAAAATATCCATCTCCTATACAATTACCTTTTTTTTTCATATTTAATAACAAAATATCAAGTTCATTAAAATACAAAGGCTAAACACTAGGACTTATTCTGGAATTTAATATTAATAGAGGCACTTAGTGAGTCAAATATTGACGAAACTTTATTTCATTTGCAGGATTTAAAGCCTGTCTTAATTATTAAATTCCAAATTTTTTTTTTTTTTCTTTATTCTCTATCCAAATTTTTGATTCATCTTCAGGCAAAAAGTTTCTTAATATAAAATTCAAAAAACTTTTTCTTTTTGAACTTGATTAAACCTGTTATTCCATTTAAAATGATAATAAATTATTATTAATTTTGTTATGAAAGAAAATTAACATCTTTTCTCGAAATATTAATTAGAATATATACAAAAAATAGGGGAAGGAGCTTTTGGGAAAGTATATAAAGCATTTGATTAAACTACAAAAAAAGTGGTTGCTGTCAAAGTAAAAATATATATTTATATCTAAAGATTCTAAATACAGATGAAGAATAGGAACTACTCTCATCTTTGAATCATAAAAATATTGTCAAACATATAAGAGGGTAATAATTATAGTTCTAATTACATAGATCAACTTAAATACTTGTGATGGAATATATGGAAGGAGGATCATTAAAAAATTATATGATTTAAAATCCAAATTTGAATGAAGAACAATGTATATAAATAATGAAATCTATTCTTGCTGGTTTAAGTTATTTGCATTAGCATAATGTCATTCATCGTGATATCAAACCTGGTTATTATTTCATATATATATATCTCTTTAGATAATATCCTATTAACCAAAGATCTTGTACCAAAGATAGCTGATTTTGGTCTCAGTATCTAATTTGATAACTTTGATTTCTCTACATGTAAGTGTGGCACTTATTTATATATGGCTCCTGAAATCTTATTAAACAAACTCTATTCTAAAGTATATATCATATATAGCTTAGCCAGTTGACGTTTGGGCTACTGGCATTATTATGTATTAATTACTCTAAGGAATTCATCCTTTCTATAAATAAGAATCAAATAAATAACAATATCTTTAAAACATCCTAGAAAAACCTTTATATTTTAAAAAGCAAATTTCTCCCTAGGCCAAAGATTTAATTATTCGACTATTAAAATTAGATATTACTGATCGTTATACGGCTAGTCAAGCTTTATAGCATCCTTGGCTTACTAAATAAAATAGTATGCCTTTAAGTCTTTTTGAATAATTTAAGTTATTTGATTGCAAAAACAAATTTATTAATGTAATTGAAATCATCACATTTAGATCATTAAATTGTTGATTTTTATTCAACAATTAAAGATTCCCAAATTTTCATATGCATATATTTTAGGTTAACAAGGTTTTCATATCAAATAAGTTCAATATATTATTGGATAGATATAATCTCCTCTTAAAATTGAATCTCCAACTATTTCAAGTTCAAACACTCTCAAGAAATTAGGTAAAATAGATTATTCAGAAGAGAATACACCATTAAGTCTTCAAAATTCTACATTCTATTAAAAAAATAAAAAATTGCAAGTAATTACAAAGATCATAAATAGAAATTATCAAATTTTTATGAATAAGCTTATAAATCTAATGAAAATTCACTTGCATAATTAAGTCCTTAGAAACCTAAAAGAAGTAATATGAATTTTTCACAAGCTTCTAGAGAATATGCAGAGATTATGTTAGGGTATTCTGCAATAAAAGAAAAACGAAAGCCTTCATAAATAAAATTGGAACCTTTAGATAGAAGAGCAAAAAGAACATCTTCTGTAATAGTAATTTCAAATTAATAATGAAAAATCTAATTCATATAATTTATTATTAAGATATATTTGAAAATATGATGTAAATTGAAAAATTAAATAAAAAAATTATTATATATTGTATAGAGAAGATACAATAATTCTAATTGAAATAAATGTATTTATATAATGAAAATGATAATTATAAGAAGGATTCAAATAAAATCATATTTTTCTTTTTCCACATCCGGATCTTTAACCTGATCTTTAACCAGATCTACATCCGGATCTGCTTGACCTAGATTTATATTATTTCTTATTTGTTTTATGTTCTCCATCTTCATTAACTTTATCTTAATGTTCTTCATCATCCTCTTAATCACCTTTTTCTGACATTTTTTATTTACCCTATTTAGAATGATGTCCACTTTTATTTTTATGACCTTCTTCTTATTCATCATCTTCACATTCTTCTTTATCTTCATGTTAATCACTCTTCATATCATGAGTTTTCTTTTTATTATGTTGTTTTTCTTCATTTATTTTCATATTTTAAACACTTTTCTAAACATCTTCCATATCATCATGATTCTTTTCATGTTAATTATGATGACTTTTATGTGATTTTTTTGATTTATCTTATTTTTCCTTTTCTTTTTCTTTTTCCTTCTTCTCTTTTTAAATATGTTCTCTAATTTCTTCTTCCTTTTCTTAAAATTCTTTCTTTTCATCTGAAGATAATTTATTCCATTATTGAATTATTTTTTCTTATTATTCAAGACTCTTTTTTTTATGAGCTGATTAGAATAATTATTCATTTAAATATGCATTAAATCCACTGCATTTTTGTTCATCACTCATAACATTTAATTGATATTTTAAGAGCTCAGAGGGTTCCATAAAAAAACAATATATATAATACTATTTTGAATTTAATAATTACAAATCTGTTAATTGGCAAAACCTAAAAACAGCAAAATTAATCAGATATAATTAAGTACTCAATCATTTGAATTTATATGATCTTCAATTTACATCAATTTCCTTAAAGTAGATTCTTAATAATCTAAATCTTAATAGTAAGTGATCAATAATTGCCTATTTTTTAACCCATTTGCCAATTCTAAATATTCTCTTTATTTCTCTGTTCATTTAATTCTATTTATATTATTATTTATATCCAATTAAATCTTTTTCAAATCTTCTTCTCTTTCTATTAGCAATTGTGAATTTTCTTAAATATTTTATCTTTTTATCTCTTAAACTAAATGAAATTCTTGAGAAATTTAACAAATTATCAACCCTTTTTCTCTAATCCTATTTAAAACTCGAATGCCAAATTTTATCGTATTATGCTTATTCTATTTTATATTATTTTCATTGTTAATGCTAATAATTTTATGTTTAGAATGATAGTAATAATGAGCATATTTCATATAACAAACAAACACAAGCCAATATAGAGTATCAAATTAAGTATGAGCAAACGTACTGTGAATATTTTAAATCTCCTGATTTTTTAGTTTTATCTAAAAAGAATTTTTGCTTGTTTTATGTGTCTATGTAATATTTTATTTTATCGATAATGTATTTCATATGGAGTATAGACTATCTGACAGAATATTTTCCAGATAGATTCTTCTATCAAGTATTCTTTTTTGGCTACTTCAAAAATAAAACCTAATCTCCACCTTCACAATATTCCAATATTTTATATTACTGGTATGTCTATTTATCAATAATGTGATCATAATATTTAATTATGTTTAGATGTTTAAGCTCTCTCAAATAGTAACTTCATTTACATATTTTTTAATTTAAATTATAAATCCTAATTGTTATTTTTCACTCATTCTATTATATTCCATTTCTTTAGCAATAAATACTTTTGATCAAACTTCCTAAGAATTTTTGTATACTTTTTTTTGCAAATTATCCTTTTCCAATATCGTCCAAATATTAATATGCTTCCAATTTTATAATAAATTTTATAAGAATGTTTAATACAATTAAACCTTCCTAATTTAAGTATTTTAAATAATAAACGTAATTCTTTCCTACTTAATTTAATTCATTTTTATTTGACAATCATAAAAGTTGGCATAATTAATTAATTTCACCTTTTTTCTGAGATAAATTGAATTTTTCATTAAATAATTATTTTCTAAAATGATACAATAATCAATAAACAAAATTACTCTGAATTTAAAAGTTATATATAAATATATGAAATATGAGATATTCTATTAAGTGTAATTTTATTAATAAACATTTTGATTTTCAAAATATTTTAGGTTTACAATTGATTGCTTTTATTTATTGCATAAAAAACCTGAAAAAAACTATTCAATCTAAATACTTAACAAATGATGTTTAATATGTGTTAAATATCAATAGGATTTAGGGGAATCGGTTGCAATTAATGTTAGACATTATATATGACATTTTTATATTAATTGAATTGTAAATATCTTATATTTATTAAACAACTTCTAATTCTCATATTAGTGTGATTAATTATAAATATTATGATTTGTAAAACCAAGCATTATTTTTTTGATCATCAGTATAAAGTTTTTATTGAAGAGGATCAAATACTAATTGGAAAGGTAATAGCCTAATTAAATATTATAGTAAAAAGAATCTATCAAGTATAAAGTTTCATTTTCACATAAAATGTTGATATTCTGGATGTTTTAATAAGGGAAATTCACTGGGTTTAAAATTTTGCTTAAAGAAAAATGGAAGTAATTTGACATGAATCATGAGGATTGTTTAAAATTCAAGAAGAGTTTAGATGGGAGAATAGGTTACAGCAGAATAGAATCTCTATATAAATTCTAAGGCACAGTAGGCTTAGGGAGCTATAGTGAAGTACATATATTTTAAAAACTAAGGTATTTTTAATATAAAGCTATCTCGATAATTCAAAATATATTGCTAAAAAAATGGCAATCAATTCAAAAAATGTGTTTAGTGTAAAGCGTTATTAATAAATTTATAGCTTTTCAATAATGAATTATAAGCTTTACAAAATCTCAAACATCCACATATCATAAAGTTGAAAGAGTTTTATATGAACTATGCTGATTGTTATATAGTAACTAATTACATTGAAGGAGAATCTCTGGCTAAATTTTTGAGATACAATAAAAAAATATGTATTAAAGAAATCAATAGTATACTGAAAGTATATATAAATCTATAACAAAAGTAATTATTTGAAGTACTATCATACATCCATTAAAATGGTTTTATACATAGAGATATAAAACCAGAGAATATATTATATAATAAAGATCATAAATTTATTACTTTGATAGATTTTGGATTTGCAACAAGGATTGGATTACAAGAATATAGTGCAGGAACTCCTGGTTATACTGCCCCTGAATTATTTGATAATGTTATTTCAACTGAGAAATGCGACATATTTAGTTTGGGCTGTATATTATATGAAATGTATAGATTATTATTATTATTATTATTAGAATTTATGGGAAAAAACTATTCTAAGGATAATCTCTTTATGACATTCAATAA